GTCAATAAATGGAGTACCACTTTAAAGGGAAGGCTGTAGTCGGATCATAATTTGGGTAAACTGCCATCATAAGAATTCCGAAAACCAGCCGAGGGCCATGGACATAGATGATCGCCAAGCCAACGGCCACACGAGCGCGTGGACACACGTCCACTTAACGCGCGCGCGCAAGCGCACAATAGTCGTAACTACGGCATCGGGTGACAATTCACGATGTTTTGTTGTCTTTGGGGTTTTCTCTCTCTCTCTCTCTCCTTTCCACAGGAGGAGAGTGGTTGAGGGCAAAATGCGCCTGCTCGTGTGAAGGACGCCCGCGAGGGGGTGTCCCGCAGCGCGAGAGAGCCTCGTGACACCACGTGACGCAAGAGCCGGTCATCGTGACGGAGCCCCCACCCCTCCTTGAGGGGCGACCTGAAAGTTGGCGCACCTGCAGCCTAGCCCTGTCAGCAGACACAATACGGTGAAAGGGAGGAGGCATGGCTCTCTCTCTCTCGTTGAGCGAAGAGCACGGCGAAGCTCGTGACAAGCATTTGAGAGGCCAGTGCTTGTTTTATTTAATTCGCACGCTGTTGTAATGCTCGCTTGGAAATTATACATCGAGGCTCTGTGGTTTTCTCAACGATACTGTGTACGAATTATAGAATGCGGTCACATTATTGTAATACAAAAACAGTATGTATATAGTTGGTGATGCTCCGTTGGCAATGGTGGTGCACAAGCACAAATAACAAACAAACTAAAACTCTACACGCTCGAAAATAACACTGTGGTCTTAAAAGGAAAATATATATGTGACGTTTCGGGCAATGACCCTTCTTCATAGCACATAGAGGCCAGAGAGATATAGTGGATGATACGAGAGATAGAGTGTGCGATACCAGATAAAGAGTGGATACTAAGGGTTGGTAGACGCACTTGACACCGTAGAGGCTGATGGGAATAAACATATTTTAAATGTTTCCCGATGAACGTTAACAACCGCTTAAAAGCACGTGGACCGAAACGTCGGACACCGTGCCAAGCAACGCGCGGCACAACCCGGAGAGCTGTCCAGCACCTACGCAGTGGTGCACCGTGCTCATTGGATCGTGAAGACACCGACTTTAACCCGTTTAGGAGAAGTATTTTTTGTCGCACTTGATATTTTAACTCATGACCACGAGGTGATGGCATGAATCTCAAACACGGCCGCGATCCCCTCTATTTCACCTCGCACTTTCCACGCCTCCCAGGAAACCGTGGGACTCCTGCAGCTCCAGAAACCCCGAGACTGCAGGAGATGGTGGACCACCGCACCGCACAAAAACGAGGAAAGGTGCCATAACCCTGGCTTGCCAGGATAAGGGAGTACAGCAAGTGGCCTAATCACCGTCTGTTTCTGTCTGTGTGGGGATAAAGCGTTGCCCCCTCGCGCAAGGTGTGGGTTTTCTCCCGGTGCTCCGCTGTTTTCTCCCCAATTGCATATCAAACAAACTCATCATTGATAGGGGCTGAAGACATCTTAAAATTAAGCCCCAATGGAGCAGAACCCTCCTGAAAAGAGTCGCTTTCCTGGAATAATAAGTCATTATTATTATCGTACTAAAACTTGATGCAAGCGATGAGCCACTGATGTGATTAAATAAACATCCTTCGAGTGACGCTGCTGGTATTGAAAGCGGTTGTTGACTGCGAGAAGTCTTTTTGAAGTCAACTCGACCGACCTTTGTGAGTAATGATGCTTTTATTTTATTTTTTTCCCAAAGAGTAAAGTTGTTTTTATTTCACTACAAAGCACACCTTGACCAGTGTTCGACACTAACCGACAATTAGCACACGTAGAGTCTGTACCCATCGAAAGGATTCCGCAGCATGCTTTAGCCAGGCACGGAAACTCATACAGATAGGTGTGCATGAATCAGAATATGTATCTACCATGGAGGAATCGATGAGCTATGAAGATCTTTTTTCACAGATGTTCAGATATCCAATCGATATATGTGCAGTGGTGCTGACCACCCACACCCTCGTGTGGAGTGCTGGCCTGCATTGGTGCTCGCTGACAGCACTTGCCCCTTTAGTCTATGAATGGCGATACGGAGTAGTTTTGTATTTGTCTTTTGCAGCGTTTGTGACCGTAGGGAGCGGTTCTGAAAATTGTCCATACACTTTGATTTGAAGCTTTCGTGACTGCAGGGATTCATTTTCTTGGTTCTTTCGGTAAAGTCACGTAGAAGGGAAACAATAAAATAATAAAAATATAAAACAATAACATTCTCACACAAGCAATTATCATCAGGTGTGTTTTTTTACACCTGATGATGATTGCTTGTGTTGCAGTCGAAACGTCGTGAGAATTTTATTGTTTTATATTTTTATTATTTTATTGTTTCCCTTCTACGTGACTTTACCGAAAGAACCAAGAATATGTCCATACACTGTTGACTATGGACGAGTTTCGGATTACAACATCGCGGATTTTAGACCTTTAAGAATAATTTCAGATCATTTTCGTCCTTTTGGAACATGTCCATTGCGTACTGATGTAACATTTGCCCGTGCTCACATTCGTGACGTCACCTGGCACGATTTGTGACGTGGTCAAGGAACGGAACGTTCTTTCAAATGTTTCTTGCCGTTGGTTTTCACACCTGATGATGACCGTTTGTGTTATGGTCGAAACGTCGTGAGAATTTTGATTGTTTTATATATATAATTATTTTATTGTTTCCCTTCAACGTGACTTTACCGAAAGAGCTAAGAAAATGAATTACTGCAGTCACGAAAGCTTTAAATGAAAATTTGAACGGAACGTTGTGACGTAACTTCCGTGCTTTGATTCATTCCGAATTAAATATTTTTAGATCATCCGAAATTTCGTATTTTAAATTAAAGCAAAAAATGTTTTCAACCAGGTAAGGCCCACTGAGGTATATATAACTATTTTTCATAAGCAACCTGGCCATCACAACTGATAGCTCAACGAAGTGGCTCATCATGTGGAAATCTCTTGCAGAAGCCAAATACTCTAAACGCATGTTTCTCAGTGTGCAGGAAAAACCGAAGGATCCGGAGAAAAATCCACTCACCACTGAGAGAGACATGAAAACTACACATATACAGCCATCAGGGTAGGGATCGAACCCACGACCTCCTGTATACCGGGCGAGATAGTTAACATCTCGCCACCGTGGCAACCTCTTGGCCCCATGTTTCAGATTCACCAGAATCTAAACATCGTGGGCACATTGCTACGAGCGACCTGGATTCAGTGTCCAGCCATGCCTGACACCAGTGGCCCATAGTACCTGAAACTGTCCTGGGCTTCCCCTAAGTCATCTTAGCATGAAACAACTATCTGGGGCAGTGTACCAACATCATCCCATTGGGGACAAAGGTGACTGGGTATCATCGTCAGCCATGACCAATCTCATGTTGGAGGCCCCCAACCAAGCCAGCGCCATCTGTCACGTGCATGCAATTTTAAAAATCTATCTAACACCTGCCCACGCGCTGATTTCATCACTCCGTCTCCAGCGGTGGACGTAAATCTCAAGCGCGTCCTCCCCCCACCCCTTGGCTGTCACTCCTTCATCGTACTCGATCACGAGCCATCGTACCTTGAGCCAAGTGTCCTGCCCCCGCCCACTTCTTTTGAATAATCAAAATTTATTCTCTGAACCGCACTTGTTCTCAAAACCACGTGATCCTCTTTACCTTTCTCTCAGTGCAATACCAAGCATTAATCGCACCGCGCTTCTTTGCACAATTTTTGATTTTAGTACTATTCTATTCGTCATTGTTCATGTTTACGATCCATGTCAGCACCACGAATGGCTACACCGCAGTTGACCGACAGGTCGCGTGAGGTGGAGTAAAGTGTGAGTAATGTCATCTCTTCCGAGACATCTGGTCAGCGTGGAGGAGTAGGTCAAATACCCTTCAGAGGGGCTCTCTCTCGAGCTCCCTCTCGTGGAGAACCTTCTGCCAGCAAGGGCAATTGCAGGGCTGTACCTTTAGCCTCCCGTTGTACTACCGAGGAAGGGGGATAATATTGTCGAGTCAGGGAATGGGCAAGTGCCGAGACATTGCGGGACTGTGTAGCGGAGCTGCAGCTAAGGTCACTGCGGATTCTGATCCATATTCAGTGCCTTGTCATCCGAGAACATTGCGCAATTATTTAACCTGACAACCGCGTCGCCGTCGCGGAGGAGGAGCAAGGCGCACGGTCCAAGCGGATGGCGGAGGATGGATGGGATGTTGGTGTGGGAGTTTAGAAGACAAACAGATATCTACATGGGAAAACAACAGTGTTCATTGAAGAATACCCAAAGTCAAATTCGGAATCTGTATTTTAGACTGGAGGCATCTGATGAGCTATGAAGCTCTCTCTTCACAGATATCCAGTAGGGGCGGGTCAGAAAGTTAGAACAACGACAACGCAAAAACCGATAGGCGTGCAGAGTATAGGGAAGGTAAGCAAGTCACTAAACTAAACAACTAAAACGTTTATTTGTGCAAAATTACCTCCCTGTACAGGCGGAGCATTGCGACAAAGTTCATCTCTGCTGACGGTCCGAAGCCATCGGAGGAGATTCCACATTCCCAAAGCGTGGACCAAGCTCTGCATACGATGGCGATGGACTGCTCTAATCGCAGTGTCACCTGGCCAGGTCGACGTACAAGGGGTATAGAAAGATAAAAGTGGCTCCCTGCAATGTCTTGCTCACGTCACTGCTGGCGGAAGAGCTTCGACTCGAGGGGGCTCTGCAGAGCGCCGTCAGCACGAGGGAGATCCCTGCGAAGGGTATTTGAGGGCGTCTCGCTTCCGAGATCGGATGACGTTGGGGTACATTGATTCTGGATGATGCTGTCAAAGAACAGACACGAGAAAAGAACAGATTGATATTAATTATTCTTATCATCAGCCATGATCAATCCACTGCTGGATGAATACCTCTCCGAGACACCATCAGGTCTGGCGATCTTGCACTGTAACAATCCACCCTGCGCTCGAACTGAACACATCACTCCATCTCGTCGGCTGATGTCCTCTCCGACGCTTTCACGCCGCTCGGCTGCCACTCGGTTATTATTCTTGGCCGTGGTCCACCATCCCCTCCAGCGATGTGTCCTGCCCAAACCCACCTTCGTAATAGTTTGGATAGTGTCATTAGCCTCTGCACGATCCTGACCAACGTGTTCTTCTTTAAGTCTCTCGGTGTAATCCCAAGCGTGCCTTTCCCCACGCGCATCTGCGCACTCTGCCGACGTCGTTCTGCCGTTTTCGTTCGTGGCCGCGTCTCTGGTCCATTCAGTCGGAGCACGGAGTGCGCACAGGCTACGCAGCTTTCTTACTGAGGCACACTGGCGGGTTCCTTTGAATCATACCTTCGAAGAAAGTCTATCGGTGCTTCGCATCATCGTCGTCATTATTATTATTATTACTACTACATGTCCCAGAGCGCAAGGTGAGTCCCTCCACAGTCAATACACGGAATTCTTTCGTCGCAGTCCAATTTTAGATGGCAGGGAGCGATTCGCAACGGTGGTTGCCCCTTTGAAACGTTAAAATTAAATCCCTGCGTGGCAGCGCGTCGCTCGCTCGCTCGCTCAAGGAACGTTATTGAGCTATGCAGAGGGGGGGAAACTGCACGATCTCCATCACGCTATAGGGAAAGCATCACCGCCGCTTAATGAACTAAGCAGTAACCCGAAGAACAAGCAGAAAATCAGTATAAGACCCAAGTTGAGAATATTTCCTGTATCGGACGCCACGGTGGTTAGAGCTATTGAGCCGGGGAGAACTTGGACAATTTGTAAAACGGGAAACAAAATAAATTAAAAACGGGCTTTCTGAAGAAGAAAAAAAAGCCCTGCAATCATTGGATTGTTAAAATTAGAAGGCAAGGAGAATGTATCAAAGAATGATTTCCGTAATACATCAAAGTGGACTTGTAATGATCAGGTTGAGTGCCTTCACTGGCTGCGGTCCTGTCTGCAGAAATGCCAGAACGGAATAAGGTCAGGAAAGTGAGACAACTGAAGAGGGAAACAATGAAGCGATCAGTGATGATTAAAAATAACAACAAATGAGTGGCACATTGATACCAGCATGAACGGCAAAAACACAAAGGGAAATGCTCACCGCTTCACAGAATTTACTGACTAGGTGATGGTCATTTTACTAACCTGGACATGTTGATGATGATTACTATGAATATAAGGAAAGTGTATATTACGTAAAAAAAACCTCAAACATTTAAATTAATATTTCCAATTAAATATCCAAGCATTGCTGCATGAAGTTCAATTCAGTGTGGCGAATGAGGGAGTGGTGTGGTCAGCGCCATCCGCCTTTGTCTTACCAGTGCTAATGATTACACACCGCACCAGGCACTGATTTAAGGCTGAGTCGACCTAGGGGGGGGGCAGGGATCTGTTCAGATATTGGCCACCAACATACTGTAGGTGGTGAGAGCGAAATTCAAACTCAGGTTGCAGGCCTCGTAGCGCCGTGCGGTGACCGCTGCACCGCCGCTCCCACAACCACACACACGACCACCACTACAACAAACGCCATTCGCCACTAAGTGGCGGCGACATCACCACGACGCTTGTGCCAGGCTATGTGCACGTTGATGCCACGTGAAGTGTCGAACGCCCGCTGGCAGGAGGTCACGGGGCAGACCCAGGTGCCACGGGTCGACTGATTGAGATGACTGGCCGATGCACCACCTGTGCCCCCTACTGTGCCAACCTGCTGTGCTTTAGCCACCCGGCGCTCCGCTCGTTGTTGTGAGCGTCGCTCCTCCCCCCTCCGTTGTTGCTGGAGGGCGACTGCCTCCAACTGCCCAGCAGCGTCCTTCACGAGCCTCCTCCACAGCGGCCGATCTTGACACCGCTGGTACCAGTCATCGGCAAGTCCACTCAGCTCCACATCCTCCTGTGCCACATCACTCCATCTCTTCTCTAGCCCGTGCCGCGCCCGTTTAGCCCCCTCGATCCGGCCGAACAAAAGCCATTTCGGCATGCGTTGGCTGGGCATGCGGGCTACATTACCCAGCCTTGCCTGCTGGAGGAGCCCACCGATGGGACCCTGCCCAGATCTTTCAAGGATTTGTGAGCTCCTCACACAATACAGCCTGATTAAACCCAGGATGGATCGTAGTCAGGCCAGCCTAAATGTTTCTATCTGGCGAAGATGTTCCATTAGGGGGGGTCCACATTTTGCAAGCCTAGAGAACAGAGGGAATGACTTTGGCCGAGAAGACGTGAAGCTTCGTGCGGAGCGACAGACCAGGTAGCTTCCACACAGCGTTACGGAATCGATGAAAAGATAATGCCGCTCGACTGATTCGCAGTAAGACCTCTGCTGTAAAACCTGAGCCGGTCATGAGCAGACTGCCCAGGCATGAAAAACTCTCCACTCTCTGCACAACTGCCCTATCAGCAATTGGGAGTTGTGGGGGTGGAGTGTCCGATGGTACAAAATACCCAGGCAGGTGGTTAGTTTTGGTGGGGCTGATGGTAAGGCTCCACCTCTTAGTTGCAAGCTCCAGGTTCAGCAGCAGTGCCTCCAACTCCTTCTCTTAGTGAGCAGCAATTACCAGATCATCGGCATACACAACATGGTTGAGCAATAGGGAGCCATCCCTTGACCGCACCCGGGCATCGATTAGCCTCCCATTGTATTTGTACCACAACCACAACAACAACCGCCATTCTCCACTAAGTGGCGGTGATGTCACTACGATGCTTGTGCCAAGCCATGTGCACCTTGAGGCCACGTGAAGTGTCGAACGCCCGCGGGCAGGAGGTCACGGGGCAGACCCAAGTGCCACGGGTCGACTGACTAAGATGACTGAGATGACTGGCTGATGCACCACCTGTGCCCCCTACTGTGCCAATCTGCTGTGCTTTAGCCACCCGGCGCTCGGCTCGTTGTTGTGAGCGTCGCTCCTCCGCCCTCCGTTGTTGTTGGAGGGCGACTACCTCCAACTGCCCAGTAGCGTCCTTCACGAGCCTCCTCCACAGAGGCCGATCTTGACACCGCTGGTACCAGTCATCGGCAAGTCCACTCAGCTCCACGTCCTCCTGTACCACATCACTCCATCTCTTCTCTAGCCCGTACCGCGCCCGTTTAGCCCCCTCGATCCGGCCGAACAAAAGCTGTTTCGGCATGCGATGGCTGGGCATGCGGGCTACATGACCCAGCCAATGCAGCCTTGCCTGCCGGAGGAGCTCACCGATGGGACCTTGCCCAGATCTTTCAAAGATTTGTGAGCTCCTCACACAATCCAGCCTGGTTAAACCCAGGATGGATCGTAGGCAGGCTAGCCTAAATGTTTCTAACCGGCGAAGATGTTCCATTAGGGGGGTCCACGTTTCGCAAGCGTAGAGAAGGGAGGGAATGACCGTGGCCGAGAAGACCTGAAGCTTAGTGCGGAGCGACAGACCAGGTAGCTTCCACACAGCGTTACGCAACCGATGAAAATATATTGCCGCTCGACTGATTCGGAGTGAGACCTCTGCTGTTAAACTGGAGCCGGTCATAAGCACACTGCCCAGGTATGGGAAACTCTCCACTCTCTCCACAACTGCCCCATCACCGATTGGGAGTTGTGGGGGTGGAGTGTCCGATGGTACAAAATACCCAGGCAGGTGCTTAGTTTTGGTGGGGCTGATGGTAAGGCCCCATCTCTTAGTGGCACGCTCCAGTCTCAGCAGCAGCGTTTCCAACTCCTCCTCTGAATGAGCAGCTATTACCAAATCATCGGCATACATAACGTGGTTGAGCAAAAGGGAGCCATCCCTTGACCGCACCCGAGCATCGATTAGCCTCCCATTGTATTTTTACCCCAACCACACACACAACCACACACACAACCACACACACAACCTCACACATACACGCATGGGCACCCTTAACGTCACCAGTTTAGCACTGCTGCACCACAGCACCGCTAAATGTCACCGTGTAGAGTCCACCGCTGGGTAGGGGCTGTATAAAATAAATCGACTCAGCCTTTGTGTACCGCTGTGACACGTCTGAGATGATATATATAGCTCAATGCAGTCACAGGGAGAGGAAGGGAGAATAAAAATCTGGAAGGTCATAAACCGAACATGAAATAATCTGCGTGTCAGGATTTTCGTAATGCCACCCTAAGCAAGGGAAACCATCCCTTTTTTTACAGACATCACAAATATATTAATTTGCATTCAGACGATTTGCATGTAGCCACTAACGGGCTTTGGAGGTACGATCTGTTCTAAGTGCGGGCAGCAATCAAACCGTGTAATTATAAAATGCTATTTACAGAAATTTGGATCGGGATTCGCACACGCACAGCACCATCTGCATTGCACGGACCCCTTTGACACGTGGCCTATGCGCGCACGTGCGCGGAATTCTAAACAGTTGACAGTCTGAGCGAAATGATGGGCACAGTCTGAGGAACGCGGGCTGCTCTCTGTTGCCCTATAGCAACATCCTCGCTGCGGGTCCACTCAGATACACCTCTGGCAAACAAAGAAACAGTTCTCCCTCGCCACGATCGTATCCGACAAACAAGAGACACACGCACACACACAGAGTGTCTGTGACGGTGAACGCTTTGATGGTACCGTTCACTGCATTCATGTCTAGGTACTGTCTCCCTCTGAACGTATCGGTGTGTTTCCGTGTGTATACACAGAATGTGCATGTGGGGAGCCGCAGGGTAGTAGTGGTTAACGCACTGCACTATGAACCTGGTGCCCCGATTTAGAGTTCTGGCTAACATCAGTGGTGATTATCTGCAACTGGTCCTGGGACTCCCCTGAGTCCACTCGGCCTCAAATTAGTAATTTAAGCGGTGTGTAAATGTCAGCGCTGCGGAGACAAAGACATCCGGGCAAGATACTGGCCACACTATCCCCTTGTGCGCTGCGTTCGCCTTAGTATATTCTAACGGTGGATGTTGGCTATACGGGAGATCATGTTTTCGTGTATGTTAGTGGTTTAACCATTCACATACTGAAATCAATTTCCACAATTTGATTCGAGGATTGATTTTTTAATGTGGTCAATTGTAGTGCCTCTGGTAGCAGCATGAGTGACATGGACCTATTTACTACGATATTTACCCAAGAATGTCAGTATAATGCACGTGACGTCATTCCACGTCGACCAGCCCCCCTCATTAATAATCATGAACAGATGAACAGGTTACGTCCTCCACATGGACCCGCCCCTCATTAATAATCATGAGTGGGTGACGTCACTCCACATTGAACAGCCCCTCTCATTAATATTCATGAAGGTGACGTCCTCCAAATGGACACCCTCATTAATAATAATTAGCGGGTGACGTCACTCCACATGGAGGGGCGAGGCGCCTCCTCCCCCCTCCTCGGCGTCAACTGACAACCCTCACTACAAAGGCAGAACCCTCACGTCACGTGATCTCCGTAACGCTGTTGAGATTTCGAAGTAAAAAGGACGTCATGATGAACAAGGGATTATAACCTTGAAATGAAATAGGTCTGTGTCACCGCACCCTTTCAAATTGCACACAAATGGATGCAATGAATATCACGTCGCGGTCTGATTTTCGCTTGCAAGTTTCAGATTTACTGAAATACACCCGTCCTTGGACGGGCAAAAGGCGAGTTACATACAATATATAGCAACCAAAAAAACGTCGATTCTTGCAAGTTTGATTCGAAGCGTGTGTCATAAACATAACAATCGATATTTAATCGACTACTCATTTGCAGCGCATGCCAAAGCACATATGTTTGGCCTCCATTTGGTCTCAAATGACACCTAGCCTGGCACAAGCACGGTGGTGACTTCACTGCCATGGAGAACGGCAGTTTGTGTTGTGTCTGCAATAGCGATCCGCTGCATTGGATATCGTGGTGCTACAATTGTCAGCTAATCGAGTTACGTTTCTTACTTTGGACAACACAAGTGGGGACAGAACTCTGAAACTGTCACGGGCTTCCCTCTAGATCAACTCAGCCTCAAATGAGTACGCAATGTGACGTGTGAATGTCATCGCTGGCGAGACGACCCTGGATAGCGGCGGCCACAACACTCCCCCAGGTGTTGTGGCAACCCTAATGGGTGCTCTATAACAGCACATGTGCATCTACTCTGTAGGGTTAAACAAAAGATCATTGCCTTTGTGTGTTTCCGGGTGATGCATAATGCATATGCAATACCATAACGTGTCAACGAGCATAATGTATGAATGTCTGCAAGGTATTATGTCGTACTGTATATGCAGTGTCTACAAGTGCAGTACGTGGACATTGTGCGTAATATACCTAATGGACACGTCACCATTAATGATTGTATTCGTTGGCTGCTTCGTACGCACAATTTTAATGTGCTGTTAGAATGCCAGGAGTGTATTTAGTTTTCATGTGAACACGGCGTGTGTGTGTGTATGGATGGGTCAATGGAATCGCGAGAACAATGCCAAACGTGTTAGGAATGGCGATGTAATGTAAATAGGCTTTTATGGATCGCACAAAGCTGCCGTGAAATAAAATATTCACAAACTATAAATGGCCAAATAGAATGTTATACTCTTTTATATTTCAGACCTCACATTCTGCATTGGTTAAACGATTAGAATATCTCTTTTGAGAATGTTACGTAAAAAAGATGTATATTTATTTTCTTAAATATTAAATACTCGTGGGTTTAATGGGAATTATAAAGATACAAAGTTCAATCTAACATGGAACACAACTAAGATGTATTTTAAAAAATAAATCTTCATAAAAACCACGAAAAATATATTGAAGGAATAAACACTGAAAATTACATGAACACCCAAAATCACAAATCTTAAAAATAAAACAACATTATTTGTTATTGTTTGTTCTTGTTTATCCAGGAAGGCCTCACATAGTCTCACAACTCTCGCCCAAGAGGGATATAAAAGAGAATATAAAGATTCCAGAGAGGAAGGTGCCTGAGTCGGGAATCAAACATAACGGCCGTTCACCGATGACAAATCATCAAAAAATGAGACTAAGCAGGTATCAGCCTTCTTTGGTTCTTTCGGTAAAGTCACGTAGAATGAGAATAAAATAATAAATTGTTAAAATAAAGTAACACAATAAAATTCTCGCGACGTTTCGGCCACAACACAAGCGGCCTTCATCAGGTGAAGGGAGGAGACTGATGAAGGCCGCTTGTGTTGTGGCCGAAACGTCGTGAGAATTTTATTGTGTTATTTTATTTTATCAATTTTTGCAGAGTACTGTACAGGTTGCTTCAAAAAAAATGTTAACACGTATATGGGACTATCGTTTTTAATGGAAAAAGAACGGATCATGCACTGTAACGTGATAACAAATGTAATGTTAATAGCTTCAAAAAGTCAAAGAGTCTCTCCACTTGTTCGCCATCGTTGTCAACACGTGGCCTGGAATCTTCTCCAGGTGGTGTCCAGAGCCCGGAGGCAGCAGTACATGTCACGTGGTATTGTTGCAAAAGTCTCAGAAGTGTTAACGTGTCTTTTTTAAAGCACCCTGTACTCTAGACACGGTGCTGCGAGGTGACCAGGAGATGGGGAGCGTTGAGCTTTAACCCTCTTGATAAGCGTGGATTTTCTTCGCGTTCTCCAGTTTTGTTTCACAAGCCCCAACACCTCCGATTAGCACGGTTGGCTACGTACGGTAGCGAAAGAAGTTCAACTTAGGAGCCGTCCATAAATGACGTCACGCACCTAGGGGAAGGGGGGTCAGACATTTGTGACGATGTGTGACGAGGGGGGGGGGGTGAGAAATGTGACGTCACATCAAAATGCGCAACTTTGAATAAATATGGACAACACGTTCTACTTAAATAGACTTTTAAATAAATCTTTTCTCCTACAACATCAGAGTGCAGCGCCACATTAAATACGCACTACAATGACAATAGTTTAAAGCGATTTGAAGCATGTTTTATTTGGGGGGGGGGAGGGGGGCAGAGCTTTGTGACGTCATATTTGAGGAGGGGTCTGATTTTTTGTGACGCCGTGTGACGGGGGAGGGGGGTCAACAATCGTCCAAAATCGCGTGACGTCATTTATGGACGGCCCCTTACACATGTACCTACAAACCCGTGCCATTCTTACTGTGAGGCATGAGCGTTATACACCAGTGCGCCACCCTGCCATAAATGGTTAATTTAATCAAACGGTTAATGTAATCTGGCACGTAATCAAGATTGCACATGCAAGCATTTATGTAACAGATATCGTGCACAATTACTGTACAGTATGTTACTATGCAGTCCAGAGGTCGCCGATTTGTTCTGCCATTGGTGCAAGTTTCCTGAATCCCATCCCTGCCTGTGTCCACCCAGAAGTCGAAGTGGCGATGAAAAATAGAAAACGGTTTCGCCCTGCGATGGCTCCCACGCCACTGCCTGACCGTAGGGCCTCCACCAAAGTGAACTCCCGAGGCGATTTGGTCTTCTCTTCCGTGTTGACGAGACATGTTGGAAGAGGTATGAGCACCCCCAACACTTTACATCACCACGCGCAACCTGCTGATTTACTACGGTTTTTTTTTCTTCAATATTTTACATTCCTACACAACTAGCAGGAGTGGTGGGGGGGGGGGGGTGGGGAGATGGCGGGTGGGGGGGCAGGAGAAGTAATCTTTGTTGGTGTATGGGAGGAGGGGGTTGGAAATAGATTCCAAATTGTTAATTATAAAAAAAGAACACTTCACCCCACTGTTTATTGCCTCGTCATACACAAGGTTAGCCGGCGCCTATATTATCCTGCCCAATATCTCATTAAGTGGCCCAAACAACTATTGTTTTATGGACACGCATTCCTCTAAATCATTGCACTGCATCACGTGAACTTGTGCAGTGACGGCTGCTGGCCACGTTCCAAAACATGCACAGACACCCATCTGAGTGTTCACCTGTGCCCACAGTGGCTCGCCAAATGAAGGGTAAATGCTCCAATGGCAAGCCCACATTGCCGATTCACTCCGACTTTCCACATCCAGGCTCAAGACTTTAACTCCTTTCATCTGCCTACGACTGGCATTTTTAATTCGCACCGCTGCTCCGCTGTGATCCCCTCTTATTGTCTACCCCGTCACTTCCTCCTACCTCTCACACCCTCCCCTCTCTGAATAACGGAGGAATAATAAAAAAAACCTCTTCTTTAATGAACCACGTCTCTGGATCGTATATGTGTCGTAGCAGGTAAGCGCGCACCGACGAAAAACGTCCTTCGTTAGACACATTGGATACCATAAGTAGATTGAAAAGTAGTACCTGCACATGACCTTGTTTCAAAAACACCTTCATTTAACTCCCCACCTCCGCCCCACAATCGCAAATAATAATTTAAGATATTTCTCACAGCACGTTCAAGGAGTCTACAATGCCGATGGGATCCTCAGAGACAAATGCGGTCAGGTGTGGTGCTGGCCACAACACCCTCTGTGTGCGCGGTTGCGGCCTTATTAGGGTGTTTGGTAACAGCACTTGCCCCAACAGGCTGAAGAGCCTTTGCGGGAGATCTTTTGTCTTTGTGCATGCGTGCACACGTGTGTGTGTGTGCTTGAAAATTCATGCCCGCTGATGATATTCAATCCAGCTCCGCTCATTATTATTCTATGCGGATACCTCCCCGTTGCATATCGGAGGGAGCTGGCATGCACCATTACAACCCCGACGCTTGCCGCCTCTGCGCAAATGATGCAGAAGCAAGGGGAGACCCGGAATAACAACTTGGACCTCTGCACTGTACACATTGCGTGTCATACGCATGGTGCGTCATGCACATTGCCTTTCTCGGAGCCTGCATGTTGTAGTCCGTCATCCAATGAAAATGCTAAATATAACAACAACCAGTTTACTTATTTGCATAGTTATTCATGAAGCCTTGTGTGGTGGCGGATTGAAATTGTAATACATTTGCATGGACCCCAAGGCAATTCTCTGAGGATCCCAAGGGCATCGTAGACTCCTCGAAAGTGATGTGAGACATACCTTAGATTATTTGCGGTAGTGTGGTGTGGTGGAGGAATAAATGAAGGTGTTTGAAACACGGAGGTAATCTTTCCGCTCCGATGTGTCTCACGAAGGACGTTTTTTCTTAATCAGTGCGTACTTAACTGCTACAACATATGGGTCAGGAACGCGGTAAACGTCAACAACAAATATCGAACAATATCTTAAAGCAGCAGGGGTTAGATGCACGCTGCATGGAAAAAGAGTCGGTAACTAAAACGGTTACCGGTTTGCCACATACATATTTCTGACGAGATGTGAACTCCCTCACCCAGTATACAGGAGGTTGTCGGTTCGATCGTGCCCCTGCCTCCTATATATTTGGAGTTTTCATGTTCTCCCCGTGGTTGCGTGGAGTTTACTCCGGGTCCTCCGGTTTTCCCCTCCACATTTGTAGGGGTGTTGCGGGAAGGTAACACACAGTCACACCATGGTGGCTACAACCACGTCCGCTATAGCGCCGCCCTCAGTGGTGTATGGGTATAAAGGGCGGGGAGCCAGAGAGCTCGGGGCAGTGTGTTGGGCCCAAGAATGAAGAACCAGTGAAGAAGGAAGGCCGGCGAGATAGACCCTGGGACTTCCCTGACCGCTGTCCTTTTGAGGGCCGGCAGGGTAAGCCGGAGCCCTTTTAAGGGTCGGTCTGGTTGGTGGGGTGCCGTGATCTGTGCTTGACCAGAGCCAGGTCAGATAGCCTCCTCTAGCGCCTGTATAGCGAAGGAACTGGAAGCACAGGAATTAGGCTTAGATAGCCTAGGGGGTGTCCCAGCGTGTATACGGGTGAAGGGGCCGTTACCCCTTTCAGTGTAACCCTTGTTAAGCTTGAATAAACCGTGCTGCCTCTACTCCACCGTCTCCGTGTCCCGTGAACCCACTACACATTTATCAACGTAGGTTCAGAGTATTTAGCTGCTCTAAATGTCCACGTGATAAGCCACTTCGTTGAGCTATCATTTGTGGCCAGGTTGCTGCCGAAAAAGAGCCACATCGCTCAGTGGACATTACCTGGTAAAATAAAATAAATAAATTGCTTCATAGCTCATCGGATTTGTTGAGGATAAATAAAGATTCTGATAGATATGTTTAGAGGTTAACGATTCAATTCGATCTGCTGGCGCGGCAGTTGAAACACTGGGCAAGTTTATTAGCACCTCCACCCCACTCCCAGCCTCTGTCCACCCAGGCCTGTACATTGGCACACCGATGAGTCGATCGCCAGGTCACAATTGGTGGTGTAAAGTGTGGCCATTCTCTGCTCGCCTCTTCCAACAACACATTTCGTCAGCATGGAAGAGTAGGCCGAATACTCTCTTGAGCCCCTTCAAATGGATGCCCTTCTGCCAGCATTTGGTGTGGCCAATTGCACGTTTACTGTACGAGTTGGCACAGTAATTGGTAAATAAGCAGAGAGGCAGAGTTGCTGTAAGTAGGCAGGCAGACAGGCAGTAGGCATTTCTGCTCCAGCCTTACCAGAATACAAGTGCACGCACAGCGTAGTACACGTGGCCAGAAACACCTTCTAATGATGAAGCTCAAAGCAATGAAACGCAGGCTGGGGACAAAACTAAAAAAGAGGCTACTGCTGATACTGCGGCTCCTGCTGCTCCTGCTGCGGCTGCATGCTGCTGCTGCTACTGCGGCTGCTGCTGCGGCTGCTGCTGCTCCTGCTGCGGCTGCTGCTGCGGCTCGAAGGAGTCGGGTCGGCAGAGGCGCTTGATGAGGACATTTGAGAGGCCTTTTCTGTTTCATCCCGTATGGACTCGCCGCACGCCTGTTGCAACCATGATGTGGCTTCGACATATCCAGCACCGAGTGGGGCCGTCGGTATAGAGGGGGGGTGGAGTTAAAAAATAGTCCAGCTGCTACTCATCGCGGAAACGATGCGAGGTTGTTGTTTTTCTATTGGTATTTTATTTCATCTCTGTGCTCATCCTTGAAGCAGGGAAGATAAGTGATGGGTGCCATGATGTTGGGCCGGTAGAATGGAGTTGGTTTGTGGAAGCGACTGCCTAAGCAATGATGCCAACATCTATCTGTCTATCTGTAACACGTCACCCCGCGGTGAAAGCGTTCTCCTGTGCAAATCAATTAGACACACGGGTAAAGTCAGACGCAGTGGCGGATTAAGCTAGTGCGGGGCCTGTAGAATTTGTTATAAAGGGGCCCTAAATAAAAAAACCCGTTAATATTAAAACACATTTTTTTACTTGCAGAGTAAAGTAATTGTGTTTTTTCATTTGCTATACAGCGAGATAATACGCCATATCGCTAACCTTAAACACCCAGTCGTACATAAAAGTTAAAGGCAGTCTAGTAATATAGTAATAGAGCAAGTGCAGAATCACTGAACCGGAATTAATAGCTTGAAATCATTTATCGCGGGGCCCTTGAAAGTGCGGGGCCCGTAGCTACATATGTAGCTACTTTTGCTACTCAGATAATCCGGCACTGGTCATACCCCCCCCCCCGTCCTCTTGAAAAAAAAAACAATACAATGAAGAAAGGCACGGCAGTGCGTCTGCGTAGATTCTGTAACTGTGTCCGATTTGCGTGTAACCCCAGAAGTGCTTAATAACATTGCAAGCCGCGCAACGAGATGACATCAGCTGCATTGACGGCATTGGAAGATTGCACACCCTGGCGTGCGATATCATCGCCAATGGATGGAAAGGCAAATCCATTTAGCACTGGATGTTTTGTTTTATCGCCGAAGTTTTGGGCAGTCATTTGATCAATGTTGTCCAATGTTCTCGCGGGCGAGTTGCTAATGTCGGTACAACTTGATGGTAAAGTTTAGTTCACACTGGATCATCTTCAAAAGAGTTACCGTCACCCCGTGTTCACAGACGGATGGACAGAGATGATGCATTCACCCCGTTGATCGCTGAGTTGGAAAGCGTTAAACACAACCACTCCAGATTCCAATTTTAAGTCAAAGTTAACATTTGACCCGCTGCTTGAATGAGCTTCATGGTGGTGCTCAACGCCATTGGTGGTAATGGTCAAGTGTTGGGAATTCCACATTATTATGGTGGGAACAAGTCTGTCCTCGGCGATTGTGTGAAGCAATGCAGGTAAGGGGCGGTGGTCGCGTGGGATGACAAAGCGGTGCTGCTCTGCACGTGTGGATTCGCAATTACAAAAGCACGTCCTTATCGAGTGGATGTCGTTCACAGAACCCGTGAACTTGGCCACCCCGTTTGTCCCGCACGCTCTATTAGGGCTCTCTCTCCCGTCTGTCACATCTACTGGACTCTTACCTTGTAAATAAACAACGTCGATTGCTCAAGCCTGCCAATACATATCTTCAGCCTTCCACCACCGATGCACACCAGCCACACACTTCAATCCTCCTCTGCCTCATGTTGATAGGCACGCGGATTAAACACTACAGTCGTGATTAAACAAAAAGTATCATTCAAGTACAAACATTACATTGTAAACATTTTAGTGAATCCTCGTTAAGTGATTAAGTGTTAACTAAACGTCGTAGGTGTGAATGTATTCAAACGCGGGACTGTTT